TACTCTTCATCTTTTTCTTGCATTTCTGTTTCAGGTCAGCGTAAACGCGACTCCTCTGTCCATCGAGAGGGGTGACAACAAAACCTCCCACAAGCCTCTGTACCTGAAGCAGGTGTGTCAGCCCGGACGCAACACCGTGCAGATCACTGTGACGGCGTGCTGCTGTGTAAGTTTGGTAGACGTGATGCTGCGGTGGCGCTCAGATGTCGCTCAGGATCCCACGTTGATATCGTCTCCTGTCCCTTTGTCCCCAGTCCCACCTGTTTGTGCTGCAGCTCGTCCACCGGCCGTCTGTCAGGTCCGTTCTGCAGGGCCTGATGAAGAAGAGGCTGCTGCCGGCCGAGCACTGCATCACCAAGAGTGAGTTAACTTTCTTATTTATTCCAGAGGAAGTTTGTATCCAATAGAAACAACAAACAGAGACATGTAGGAGCAGTACGGAAGCGTATTGTATTCACAGAAGAAGAAACGAGAAACAATCTCATAATTACGAGATAAGATCTCCTAATTATGATAAAAGATCTCGTAATTACGAGATTCTATCTATGGATTTGGTTATGATTACTTGAGCCAGTAATGTAGCATCTCTCAGAAAACTGGTCTTCATGATGACTTCTTAAAAATATCTGCATCTGATCCACTGAACAGTTCTCAGGTCTGTCCTGATACGCGTTGGAGCTCTGCTCCTGTTTTCAACTTCATCAATAAAGTACCAGCCATAACCCTGGGATTATTACTGGGTTTAAGCTTGCAGCCGTATGACCATACGCGAAAATCCATTAACAGCTCCATTAATACAGATTCCGTAGGGTTTTAGTTTTTCATATGAGTCGCCATGCTGCATGAAGTTGGGACCCGGTCGTTTTAAACCATCCTGAAGCCTTAGCTGTACTCATTTTTTAGAAGGTACCAGCGGACAGTTGTTTAGGAAACCACCAAGCCAGCAAAAATGCATTTCAGATGCATTAATTTATAACCATAAAGCATCCCTTGCTGGTTTCATTTCTCCTGCAGAAACAGTGCAACTTCCATCAAGGCTTTTCGCTTTAATAATTCTGAGGACTTAATGTGCAATGCTGAAAACCTAATTCCATCCACATTGAGGAAACTCAGTATTTTCCAGTGTTGCAAACCTAAAAAGAAGTAAAAGCTGATTAAGTCCGACAAACCACTCATTGTTCATGTTTCATTTAGCGTAGCTCAGCAATGACTGTCCTTCCTGATTACCTAAATATGATAAACTGTCTCATAATTATGACATCTTATAATTATGATTATAATTATGAGATAAGATCCAGGGCGGTCAACTCTCACCCATTGGGTGCGAGACTCATGCATCTGAGTATCTCCACACGCTCACTCTCCAGATTCCCAATTTTTCACGCAGAAAAAAATGATGAACATTAAAACTCAAATATACAGTCCGAGTTTCAAACACAACCTTAGCGCTAACACATGATGGCATGCCAGGTTCATATCCAGTCCTTTTTTTTGCACCAGCCCACCTATTAACTGAGCTGAGAGCAGTGGAGGTGAGGGACCTGCACCAGATATTGAAAAAATAGCGGTATTTCTGAGCAGTTATTACAAGGTATCTCATTTTAATTTTATCTGGACTTGGTTAATTCACTTTGTAAATTAATGACGATTTTAAGTAATCTAGCACTTGACTAAATATGAATAAGATATACAGCATTTAGCTTAAATTATCACTCTGGAGACTGAAGTGTAGGATGAAATCAAAAGGTTTGTTTTCTCTCTTTAGTGTTTTTTTTACTGAGCTTTATATTTTAGTGTCATGTTCTTTTTAAGGGATCTGACCCACATTCAGGAAACCACTCAGAGAACCAGAGAAAAGGTTTAGCAGATTAATTGAAAGCATGATGAGTAGGATCCAGTGTTACTCAGAAAGCTGGTGAACCGGAACTGGAAGTTAGAAGGGAAGTTCATTGTTTAGTTCAGGCTGAGCGGGAAACTTGAGCGACGACTTGCAAAAACAGAGACTGAAACGGGACTCACATTTCCAGGGAAAAGGTGTCCTTCCCAGAATCCAGTCGGTGTGGGTTATTCCTGAACTTGGTTGACTCGTTGGAGGGCGGACAGGGTTTACTCAGGTTTGGTTGGTTCCTGAGGAGCGATGGAGCTGACTGCCACTTCAATTTGCTGAAGAACTTGAACGGTTCATGTGGAGATTTATCCCCTGCTCAGTTGAAGCTCAACTGATCCTTCCAGGGGGAGAAGGCCAAAACATCCAGTTTGCAGGGTGACTTCCTGCCGAGAGGCAAAGACAAAAACAACAAGGTTGGAGCTCAGGGAGAAAAAGACTCAGTTAGACTCTGCTAAACTCAGCTTGGCTAGAGTACCCAAAACTGGCAAACACTCTGGTGTCGAGGAAGTGGCAGTCAGCAGCTTAAGAGTCCTCAGATAATGAGGAAACCATCCACAGGTGTGTGGAAGGGCCAACGAGAACCGGTCGCCACCTGGTGGTGGAGGGAGAAAACACAAACAACACACAACCCACACAAACTGAATTCCTAACATTTAGTAGGGTCCATACTTCTTTACTTCAGTTCTCTGAAAATCACCAAAACATAGAAAATAATGTATATTGTGTGAAAAAGTTTCCACATAACTACAGATCACTTATTGTTACTCAGTAATATTTACTGTGCTATAAAAATTCAACATTTTACAACTTTG